ATGACGAATGACTAGGTTAAGATCTAGAAAATATCGAATAAATGAACATAACAAATATGAAAGGAATATATACATATACATACATGAATATTTGTTAAATCAAAATAGATAGCCGATCTAAGATCCAGCGGTTATTCTAATGGTTCTATCCAGTCATAACACTGTTTCTGATCGACAGTGATGACAACTGAAGATCTTTAAGTTTGTATTAGCTTTCAATGAGTAACAATGTCTAGAAATTATTAGAAAAGAATTCATAAAACTACAACATGGAAAAGTTGATTGTTGCAGAAGAAAACACAACTCATTCTGATTAACTGCCAAGAAACGTATACAATATAGAGAATCGATCAAAAACTATTGGTTAATATTTGATAAAAAAATACCGACATAAAGATAGATTAACATTAAAATTCATCTTTTCAGCATCATAAATAATCATGTTCACTATCCAAAATTTCCTCGGATTTTTATATTTATCATTTCAAAAAATGAATAAAGTATGTCTTCAAACTGTTTAACAATTATTCATCAAAAATTCTACTTTAAAAACAACCCAAAAAAAAATCTATAATATTGACTTTAGTTTTAACTAACTTTCCAAACTATTCGACACTGAGAAATAGTCTTTGTCAGTTCAAATAAAAATTACATAAAAGAAACCTTTTTGCATTTCATAATTATTTTATTTTTATTTAAACAACAAAAAATAACAATCTATGTATCCAAAATCATATTAACCAAATTTGTATCACTTCTCCATTATTTTTTACAATGACTTTTTCTTCATCAACAATATTACCAGGGAAACTGCGTCGACGATTTTTAATAATATAATCACGTGAAAAAGGATCATCGAATAACGTATCTTGAGAATAATTGATTTTAACATAATATAAATTTTCAAGATAAGTAAGAAATATATTAATAATAGACACACAATTATCGAATGAAAATACTTGAAGTTCAATATCATTAAGTGATGGAAAACGCTGAACAAATTTTGATGCAAAATTTGAAGGAAAATAAATTTTGTCTCTTATTAATTTCATCATTTTGATTTGTTTGAATATTGGAATAAGTATTGGATTATCGATTAATTTTGATAACATCAATAATCGAGTACTAATTCTAATACCAATCACATTTGGACAAGCTCTAAAAAAAAAACAATTTATTTATTATACTTAGATTTAATACCAATGATTATTATTCGTTAGAACATGAGATATCTTCTAGAAATATTTGAAGGATACTTACTGTAAAATCAATTGAATACTTTTCCATTGATATGTACGATATTTTGATGAAAATTCTAATTCAGTTATATTGGATAAATCTACCAAACATGAAAGATAAGTAACATGTTGTTGTGCCTCATCATCAGTTGTTTCATGAGAAATAACTAAAAGAAAAAAAAAAATGAAAAATTCTACTATCAAATTCATCTATATATGATAATATAAAGCGAATTATTCTATTTAAATAAATAAAAACAAAGTTTCTTCTTACCAGTATTCAATAATCTATTCCACAACGATGAATAAAGTATTATTCCCATTTGTATGAAGAGATAATTGACTTTAGTATATAAAGGAGAAGACCAAGTAATATTTGATGTTGTCTTTGTAAAAAATACTCTTAAATCTCTTATATCTGAATAAAAAAGATGATGATGATCTTTTATTGTTGTTGTTGATAGTGTCTCATATGATCCAGAATTAATATATGGAATTAAGATCTTAACACTTGATTTATTTTTGCAATAATTAAATGTACGTAACATGACAAATTCTTCTGAAAAAATAGGAAACAAAATATATTTTTAAATATGAATGAAAATCTTCTCTTTTCAAAATATTCACTTGTTTATTCATCATTTACTTATAATTTGTGAATATTACAACTATATAAATTTTAGTTTAAAGTTAAAGTAAAGATTTCTAAGTAGATAGTCAAAACTCACTGAAATTCCTCTTTTTCAAACAAAATTTACTTATCAAACAGTTTAGTTTTCCAGTGTAAGACCTCATTCTCATTCTTCATTATTTTAAATTCGTTAAATCAATTTTTATTTTACCTGGAGTTTCACTAACAAGATTCCATCGATCAATAATCATATTCCAATTAGAATATTTTCTAACAAAATATTGAAATGAATTGACAATAAAATCTAAATTTAATTTTGAATAGCTTTTCCAAATTGACATATGAAATTCAAAATTCGATAAACATGGAACATAATGTTTTACTATTTGTTCCCATACATAACCATTAAACAATTTACGATAATAGTGCAATGTTTTCATTCGTGTCGCAAGAAGAAAATTAAAACGATTAAGATTAGGCATACAACGTAAAATGTAAGCAATTGAATAAATATCACATATAATACACACTATTAAATTGAAAGATACCAATTTCGATAATATTGGATAGTCTTTATCATTAAGAGATAATTTTAATGATGGAACACTAAAACAAAAAAAACGCACATGTCATTTTTAATCATTATCCTTTTAGAGATTTATTATCTAAAATATTCACTACTCGGAAACTTACTTGACGTTATTATTTTCAACTGAATATTTCTGTTCTATTCTTAAGCCTAAATGTCGAATTCCATGACAAACACGAAAAATTGATAAAACTAAAAAAAGAATTACAGTTGAAGATGTACAATATAGACGTAAATGAAGTGATGTAAGATTTGAAGATATTGAAGTATAATTTGATATATCTAAATAATCATAACAATATCCAAGTATTATTGAATGAAGAGAAGATGATTTGTGCATTAACATCATGCGAGTTAAATCACATTTATCTTTTCCATTTAAATTAAAATATGGATCAAGAAGACTAAATCTAACAAGTCTATTTAAACTTTGAATTTGTTTAAAAACATTTTCAAATTTTGTTGATGAATTAATTGAAGTAAATATACATGATTGAAGATTAATAAAATTATGTCGATTAAATAATAAATTAATAACAGATGAATAATCAAGAATTATATCATGAATTTCTAATGAAATAACTTGATGAGCATGAAAAGTAAGATAATAAGAAAGAAAATCAATTTGACGACGACAATAATTATGTGGAATAATAATACGAAATGGAATAGATTGCAAAATAGATGAAATTCGTTGATTCAATGAAGTAAAACCAGTCAAAATATCAAGTGCATGTAAATAATCAAATATTTCGAAAAAAATTTCATTCGATAAATCTTCTAAATGAGTATGTATACTCATTTTTTTTGTAGAAATAATGATAATAATCACACGATTTAGTTTAATCTTGTCGAAAGAATAAATGAAATGAGAGAACAACTGTTAAAGAATATCTTTTATACTCTATCATAACGGAGTCTATGAACAATATTGACGAGAAGATAAAAAGAAAAATGAAGATGACGGTCAATTTATTTTTTTATATATGAAAGAAAGACATTGATAAAAAGGTATATTGACGATATCAATCCATCTAATTATTATCTAGAATGATATTTTCTATCACAGATGTAATCTTAAAAAAGAAGAAGAGAGAAAGAGACAAAAATAATTCAGTAAATTTCTTTACACAGAAAAATTTTGAAGCAAGATTATAAATGGTAACAGTGATGCAGAACGTGATCTGGTAATACAAAGGATGACGAGAAAAATTCATAGTTTAAATAAACTTGTTATATTTACTCTTCTTGAAGCATATTTTAATATAAATGTGATTTAATTCCAATGATGTTTATGAACAAATCATCTTCTCTTCGTTCAATGATACTTCAACATTGTTATGATTATTTAGATATATCAAATTATACTTCAATGTCTTCAAATATCTTACATCACTTCATTTACGTATACATGGTACATATCAGAGGCCGAAACGGGGTGAATTTTAGCTCCCTCGCCTCGCCTCGCCTCAAACAATTTTTCCCCGCATCGCCTCGCCCCCGTTTCCCATTTTTTTTTCGCCCCGTCTATATTGACCCCGTTTAGGTTGCTCCCCGCCCCGTCCCGCTCCGTATGAGTTTCTCCTCGCCCCGCTTCATCCCAACCCGCCCCGTGTAAGTTATCCCTTGCCTTGCCTTGCCTCGCCCCAGATTTACATTATTTCTTCATCACCTTCTTTTATGTTTATAGGATATTTGTATTTCTTTGACCACATCATTGATTTGACAAGATATTGCAAGTAGATACAAAAGCACAACAGTGCCCCTTTGAGCCTGGGATTATTTTTAAGCACTAGGATTTCTTAAAATTTCAAATCAATGTTTATTTTTTCAATAATATCATTAAATACACGATTCAGAATGCTTGTGGAGTATGATTGCCCTTAAAACAATCTATTAGACACAACTCCACATCACTCGATACATTCTTACGATGTGTCTCTCCTAGACGTGACTCTTCTCACAGTATGAGCACAAATATAACACTTTCTTTTGGATTTTCTTGAGTGACTGTTGATGCAATGCATGAAGAAAAATGTCGCGCTGTGAGTCGGAGTGGATTTTCAGAGGGTATGAGTGGTGGGTGTGGATGTAGTGTAAGATAATGCCAACATCCACATCCGCCCATAGCCACACCCACATCCACACCACACGCACAGAAATATACAATATGTTGAGGCCAATCACGTTTTCATTTAAATAATAAGAACAAAATAGGTATATATACATATATATATATATATATACATCAGTCACAGAGAGAACAAGAATCAACTCGGACGTGCCTCAAAGAACATATAAAAGAAAAGAAAACAGAGAAAGCTTGACGTCATTCTACGATAGCAGAAAGTTAAAGAAAAAAGAACCCATGAACTCGGAATGAATGATCTTTGTGACCTTTTATATGAAAAACTGCACTCTACCTTATTCATCAAATGCGACCGTTCGATCAAAATATTTCTCAGAGATATCATGCTTGAACGACTTTAATAACAGGAACTATCTTCTTCAGAGCGCCAGTTCTTTCTCGATAAGTGTTAGCAAACTGATTCATGTATTAAGTCATTAAATGATATACTAATTGTCTGA